AATACAATATAAATATGTGGGTATTATTTTAATTTTTTTTTCTTTTTCTTCTAGATAATCATCGTCTTGCATTCAATATCAATTATTAGAATTGTAAGTATACATTTCTTTTTTTCTTTATAGTTAGAGAGAGAGAGATTGAGGATAGGACTACTCTAAAATAAGTGAGATAGAGTTATGGGTGTTAGTTAGATCGTCTTCCCAGGTTAGACGTTAAACACTGGCCAGGAACTATCTTGGTGTCCGTGGCACACGACCAGGCTTATTCAGACTCATTGACATATCTCTCGCGGGGAGGGTATGAATGATATGAGTCTGTCCTGTGCGTGCATGAGCGTTACGCTCGCCATGGCTCCACCAGGATGGTTCCTGGTCGCGCGCGCGCGAATAGAATAAGCCATTCATTTCATCAATTCAATGCGATTTATTTGAAATGAAAGGATCGCAAAAAAGAATCTATCACGACGAGTTTATTCGATTGAAAAGCGTTGAACACGAGAATTGTAATAATCGACGACATAGAGATTGCCATATCGATCGAAGGACAAACCTTGGAGATACTGGAACTGATTTGCTCCTGCTCCTGAGTCATTTCCACCCACAATGACAGTGCCCTGTTTCGCTCCTTTAAGCCAACGTATCACTCGATGATTCAACGAGTCTGCCACATAGATGGTACCCAATGTATCGACGAACAGTCCATTAGGATGATCCAACTGTGTCAGAGCATTTCCTTGACCTTGACCTCCAGCGACGACAATTCCTTCTTTTGCACCTTTATTCCATTTCATTACACGATGATTGCTGCTGTCTGACACGTAGACAGTCTGTTGTTGATCGACAGAGAGGTAGCTCGGCCGGTTGAGTTGATTGAGACCAGCACCTTTGCCATTGCCACCAGCTACAAGAGTTCCATTCTTGTCTCCTATTTGATATCGTCTTACTTCATCTTTGTCGGTGTCAGAGATGTAGAGATATCTCTGATCATCCATGGCCAATCCAGAACACAAGATGTTGTCGATAAGGATTTCTCCCTGAGCTGTGCCACTACGACGAGACCATCGTACGACTCGTCGATTCTCTCGGTCACAAATAATGAGACTATCCGTGTCTTTGTCAATCAATACATCGGTTGGTCGATCCAATTGATCCAATCGATTTCCTTGGCCATTACCACCAGCTACTACTTGTCCATTCGTATCACCCATCTTCCATTGGATGATACGATGATTGTAGCAGTCAGCGATGACCATCGTTTGATCATCATCAACGAAGAGACCAAGAGGCCCGTTGAATTGGTTGGTAGCACTGTCTTGTCCATGACCTCCAGCAACAGTCACTCCATTCTGTTTCCAACGGGCATCGACGGGAATATTGGGAATTACTACAATGAACAAAAAAGAAAAGAAATCGTCGTTGTTGAAGGAATTCCGTCTCCCGTGAGAGCAAGCGCTACAAAATATGACATTCATCTTTGAGAATGCTCATTCCACAGATAAAAATTCAGAAGTCTTTTCCTAGTTTCTTATGAGAAAAAAGGATTTGGTAACGATTCTTACATCTATGTTACTTCTAGTTCTTGCCAAGATCTTTTTGATCATAAGAATAACACCTGGAGATTGTTGTAAGGAGGTTCTCCAAGAAAGAGTAATACTAATTCCATGTAAGTTTTTGATAGAAAAACATAAGGATCTGAGGATTTTTTTCAGAATTGCAAGAATTCAGAATCTTTTTGGCAGAATGATCATTTATATGAATATCAGAGAAGATTCTATTTGCATCTTGTGAGAAGAATATCGAATCGTTGAACAACAAAATATCAAACCTAATCTCTATGTTTTTTAGGAAACCTTAAGGATACATGATTTTCTGTATGATGAATATAGATCTGCCGAAGAATCTCCTAAGTATTTACATAGGCTTTTGGTAAGTTATGTGAAGCTGTTCGAAGAACAAGCGTGATGTACTCTGAGTAAGATCATCAGAAGGCTTGAAAACAGGCGAAATTGAACAAAGTTGAGAGGATTCCATGCGAATCTATGTAATCTGAGAGGGCTTCTTCTTTTACAAATGCTGAAAAGATGGATACCAATCCGAACGGAGTTCTCCACTGACAAACATTGGGATCTATGGATTTTATGGGCTTTGAAAATCTAAAAATAATGAGTATCTTCTATGAGGATCATGCTATAATCCTTATGTAATACTTGTTCTGAGAAGTCTTCTGTAAGCTCGCATGTTATGGATATGTTCAGGAGAATCTGAAGAGTAAGTATTTTGAAATGGTTGATATCAGAGTGAAAATGCAGTAGGAACAGTACAGAATGGAGGTGCCTATCTTTGAATTTTATGAGAAAGTTTATAAAGCAATAAATTAATGTGCTACTATTTGATATCAATCGTAGATTTAATTATGTTCAAAAACTTATGTGTATTTAACCCTCGGATGCCCAAGCTAATTTTTGGAGATAATATGATAACATGTATTCATATTTCTATGATTTTGATTGCTGGACTGGTATTCTTGCCCAAATTAGATTGTTTTCCTCTTCAATCTTGTAAAGTAATTATTAGAATTATAGTTTTCCTTTATTTAGAACAGTAAATAGAAAAAATTCCTTGAACAAAGTGCTCATCACAAACCGATTCTGGGAGGATTTTCACTAAATTCTTCTGAACATAATGAATATTATAGGCACAAGGGCGGATATATATAATAGAAATCTCGGGACAATAATAAACTTCTCGAAGATTCTGAACAAGAATATTGAAAATAGACTAGATGCGACGCCATACACAAAAAGAATGCAAGAGAGAAGAGATATGCATGAGATGTAAAGTAGACGGGAAAGAAAAAAGAGACAGTGAAAATAGATGCATTTTTTAAAGATTTTGTCAGATTCAGAATAAAAGATGTCATTGGAAATCTTATTAGATTCTGAGATTAAGAAATATATAAGAACAGAGTAAAGTACTCTGATCTGATTTTATCTGACTAAATAGAATTCATAAACAAAAGAAAGTTATAGCATTACATAATCCAAATCTTGTCTGCTCTTATTTGATTCTGTGTGATCTATCATGTTCTTTTACTTATTTGAGAATTGTTGATTCAATAGCTTCTATTATAGAGAAATGTACAAAATACACAATGTTGTGTTATGAAAGTCGATGTTTTCTATTATTGTAATCGTAAAATCATTTTTGACTTCACAAATGCTTTGTATAATAGATTAGTCAAGGTACAGTTGTATCTCGGAAATTTTCACATAATAGAGAACGTTTTTTTTCACAAAATATTTCGACAGAAAAAATATCGTTGTCGAAATTTTTCTAAAACTATCACAAGATGAAAAATTAAATTTTTTTCTATTATCCTCTACTATATGCTGGAACATATATTTTTGTATTCCTTATTTTTCTATATATATAATATATAGAAAACGATATAATATTTGATTTATTTGAACTTATATGCTTATACATATATTTTTATTGTTAGTTTTCTATATTGATATTGATAATATAGGAAGCTTGTTAGCGTAGCCCCTTTGGGGCTGAAATGTGAAACTCACATATATTCTCTAGCCTCATTAAACTAATACAAAATATGTAAAGCGAAAAATCTTTTGTAGACTGTAGTTATTTTGTAGGATAATCGAACATCAGAGTAAGAGTGTTTCTAATTTCTGCATTTCGAACAGAAATTTTCTTTTTCTATGGGCACCCTATTTTTTATTTTGCATTGTTACTATTCGCTCCTTATTATTCATTTTTTAAATTTGTTTTTCTTAATTTAACATTCTTATTATTATAATCATTGAATTGATTGCAAATACATCTGTTTTACATATTCATTATGTCTATAGCAGATCTTATACACTATTATATATATATATATATATGTTAAGTAAATTAGAAACAATGATGTTGATTATCTTTCAAAATTATAACTTCATCAACTTTGCAAAAAAACTATAGAAAGTCTGACGCCTGTTATCCTCAATTGCTAAGATCCGTAATGAGAAGTTGTCTGTAATGGAGATGATGGTGGAGATGATGGTGGAGGAAGGGAAGGGAAGCCACAAAAATTCGACTTAAAACTTATACTCACTATTTTCTTTAAAAATATGTAAGTTCCCCAAAACCAGTGATATAGATGTATTTCAAACTCGACGTCCAATGATTCTAATGAGAGACGACACTGAGCCTAAACTCTTCTCATTAAAGAGAGACATATATTTATAAAAATATCTATTGACATATGATTGTTTCATAAAAGCCAAAATGCAACTCTTATTTTGAGTAGATATCAATACCTATCCACTAGTTGAACGATCTTTCCCTAAAATTTATGATAGAATTACGTTGTCTGTCACATGATCTATATAAATAGTATAGAATATATAATGTGTAGTCGGTATATAGGGTTTCATATAAGACAAACAAGTCAAAAAAAAAATTTCTTCAACTTCATTGAAATCAGAAATGATATGAATGGAATAGATCTTTTTCTATTATGTTCAAACATTTCAATTCATTTTCATTCCAATTATCAACAGACAGGTTCAATCAAATTATGTTTATGAGATAAAATATGATATTTGCCTATATTTATGATAATGATCAAATTTCATACGATTTCATGTACGTTTAGTCTAGGTTTGTTGAACAAACGACTCAATGAAGAAATGAAAATTTTTATGAATTAAATACCACAATTGTATTTTTGATTTAGAAGTCATAAACGTAATGAAATTTTGTTAATTATCGAACTCCATGTTCAACTAGATGATAACTTTCTAGTAAACTTTGTCAAGAAGATGAAATCCTGGCATTCTAATTTTCAAACGAAATTTTCATATAATTTGCCTATTTTCTATCGATAAATTTTGAGATGAATAAGTTAACAGTCCAAGATGAATTTTCTTGAGGCTTCAACTACGTAAAGAGCTTTATTGTAGTACTTAATACTTATAGAATATTGGTCGTGTGAAAATGACATTCGAAACAAATATTTTCGCTCTGATGATAAATGAATGCAGTACGAGAATTGTAACTTGCTTTCAAACACGGAACTTTTTATAATCTAAAAGATGACATAGGTTCTCTCTTGCAATAATATACTAATAATACCATCAGATTCTGCATGGCCAGGACGATAGATAAAGTAAAGATAAAAAGGCGTTTACACATGTCAATATGTATCTACCAGAAAAGAGTTGATGAATCACCAAAAACATACGAAGCGTTGTTTAATACAAATCAATTTTAAACACATCTTGTCTGTTTACACTCATTTTTGATGACTAATCAAATATTTTTCACCATTTCTACATTGACTACTTAAAACTAGTTAGTACATGAAAAGTTCTAGTCATTTTGGAGATTACAATAGTTTTTTTTTGAAACCATGAATAGTTTTCTTTCTATTTTTTCTACTGGATCTTGTTTTTTTTAGTTTCAATGTTCTACCATATTAAAACATCTCCAAATGCCTCAAATGTCATTAAGAAACATATAGATATAGATACCAGTAAAGCAATGAGAGACTCAAATTTCACACGTATTTGCAATACTTGGTGAAGAAAATAATTTAAAAAAATAATTTATAGATATATTTGCATATTTTGTGAGTATCTTATTTCCAAAGTTTGAACCTTTCATCTCTCTATCATGACCTATTTCATTGTAATCGCTAAAAAATTCACTGATATTCTTCATTTATGTGATTGATCAATGTTTTATTTCATCTTGAGTGATAAATTGATTTTTATTCGAATGAATTCTCGAGCACCGAAATCGAATGATAGAATTTAATTGTAAGTGACAACGATATACTAAGCAGTCCTCAGAATAATCATATGTTCTGAGTTGATGTTGACATTGACTAAGCGACTCGATACACGTACTCATAGTGAAATCCTCTATTAAATGGTTTCACTGGAAGATAATGAAAGAAATATTGCTATTCTAAAGGATGACCCAAAAGTTGAAAGCTATTATCTGAAAAGAAAGGTAACTCAAATCAAATGGACATCATGAAAAGTTATGACTGCTTTATTGATCATGACAAAACATTTCACGTCTTACATTTTTTGCAAAAGTAGAATATGCTTGTAACATCCGAGGCGAAATATTGTTTTCTAGAGATGCCAAACTTGAAGAAAATTAGAATATATAATAAAAATTTCATGTATCTAGTATT